TGCACGATATGCGTCTGCATGTGCGTGCAAATAAAGTCAGAATGGATCGGATATTGCCGGGATCGTCATTCCGGCACACCAGTGACCAGTGCTCTCTTAGGTCCCCACGTCTGCCCTTTTTCACTCCTTTTGCTTTTCATCGTCACTTGGAAGCCCTTCTAGGCAAACAGCGCTTTGAGAACTCGGAATCTGTTTTGTCTTTGAAATACAATCAAACGAACATCAACAAACAGAGAAAAACTACAGCAACAACACGGAATTACTTAGGCAACCCTCTGAGATTAAATAAATAAATAAACAGATAAATAAAATCCGAAGAATTCAAGAAAGAAAGTGCCAGGGTCTGCTCTTCAGCACAGAGGGTATGAATGCAGCAGCGGGCAGAGGGAGGGGAGAGGCAGCCTCATCTCTCAGGTTGAGTGTGAGGAGTTTTCCTCTCAAGAGAAGAAAATCATCCCTCACTGTTTTATTACTGTGTCATTTTGGGGAGTTACACGTATTTTTATATTTTTGATTGATCAAACAAGAGCCCGTTTATTCCATTAATTCTCTCATTTCCCCACAGCCCCAGAATTATTAAAATCATATCTGAGAGCATCCTCACAGGAGATTGCTCGTGTCCTTTCCCGAGCCGTGCCGTTCGGGGCACAGAGAGGAGGCACGGCCCCGTGTGCTGCACGCAAAGACCCTGGCAGGGAGCTGGAAGGCTGGGGAAGGAGTGGAGAACCCATGGGCGCTCCCTGCCCCAGCACCCCACACACCCGCGGGGCACTCTGGAGGCCGATCCGCCCCCCGGACCGGGCGTTCCTGCCCTCGGCCTTTCCCAAGGTCTCCCCGGGTGTGCGAGTCCGGAGTCGAGCGAAGCCTTAATGCCCGGACTTTCCCACTTTCATTACCTCGGTTAAAAACTTGAACCTAGTTAGCATGTAGGGTTAATTTTCCCTGTTATTATCCCCTTAATCACAGTTTTAATCTTGGTTTTATTTCTAAGGCGAGATCAGAGACGCTGCCCTTCTTGACATTGTCCTAATCAAATTCATCTTTCTGTTTAATGGGAAATTGAGGGAAATTCTGCAGTAATTTCATTGCCCTGGAAAAAAAAAAATCTTTAAATGATTTCTCTCTCCTAGACCACACAGGACCACACAAGCACCGCTGGAGGATATTGCTGACCACTGCCTTTAATTTTTATTGTTTGAGTTATGTCTACCAATTGAATCTCCCTCTTATTAGCTTGTATTCTAACTTTGTGTTAGAAGATGGGAATTTTTTTTCATAACGTATTTTACGAAGGAGCTGATTTTCAGTTCTTGGAAGAGAAAAGGAACATTCAGTTCAAAGGCTATATTTTTGTCTGCAATAAACACAAGGAATGGATGTGAGTTCCCAGTCACCGGAAAGAAAGGTGACACTTCAAACTAACTTTTATGGGGTTAGAGAAAACAGAGCTTTCAATTAATATTCAACTCATTTGTAATTGCTAATTAATACCAAAAAAAAAAAAAAAAAAAAAAGAAAGAAAGAAAGAAAGTAAAAAGATAACTTAAAAAAACCCTGAAATAGCTGGAGACACTCACAGTTACGGAAAATGTTTAAATCTACATGGAAAAACATTTACAGAAACATCATGTTCCAGAGGCAGCTGGCCTCGGAGCCGAGGGGAGCGGGGTGGAGTGGAAGGAGAGGCTCGTTTGGGCTTGTGCTGCTTTTTCCAGCCTCAGCCGGCTGCTGGTTTGGGGGCGGCGTGTTAATGCCTCGGGTGTCCCCCGCCTGTGTCTGTACAGGAAATATCACCACTGAGGAGCAGGGCGACCCGGAGGCCTGCTTTCACACGCTCCTTTCCTCTTTTCCGCTCTTTTTTTTTTCCCTGGTTTTTAAAGAGGCGTCCGGATAGGCCTGGACATCAGAGCTGACCACGCGCTGTAATTTCCCTGGCACAGTCCCCCAGTTCACAGACGAAGGGCGCTCTGCGTGTGACCCAGCAGCCTCCCTCGCTCATTTATCACTCGGGAGCGCGGCGCCCGCAGCCAGGAGAAGGCTTCCCCTGCCTATGCCGGGGCTTGTCCAGGAGATGGCAGGATTGCCTCAGACATGGCTGGGAGCGAGCGCTGCCTGACAGGAGCCGGGCAGCGCATCACTGCGCCACTGTGCATTTGCAGCTCGCTTTGTCGAGGTGCATGTTAATTATCCGCAGTAACGTGCCTACATTTCGGAGGAACCTTCAAACCCTCTTCTCTAAACGCGGGCTGGGGCTGCAGCCCGGCCCCGGGGCCACAGGCGGCTGATGTCCTGAAGAGCCCAAGGAGGTTTTGAACGAGGCTCGCCAATGCCCCAGCTCCAGGCTTAGAAAACCCTTTTAATCTCAGCCGGTAGGTAGGGGGGCAGATGTGCGCCTCATCTTCCTCCGGCCTGTAGCTGCTGGCTTCTTAATGATTCTGCACGGTCTTACGAAACTAAAAGGCGACCCCTCTCCATCTGGTACCGATTTGCCAGGCAGTTCGGGTTTCCTTCTGCCCGAGGAAGGCGGCTTTGGCTCGGCAAGCTGCGCCTTCTGAAAGCACGGAGCCCGGCAAAGCCAAAGGTTAAGCCTGGAAGGAGGAAGAGAGCAGCCCGCGATGGCTCCGCGGCCGGGAAACAAAACAGCTCGGGCAGTGCCCGGCCCGTCCGTCTGCAGGGAGACTCGGTGGGAGGAAAAACCTCGGTGGGAGGAAAAACCTCCGTAGAATTAATGGCAGTACGTGTGGGTGAGTGGGGGTGCCAAGGGGGAGAAGACAAGAATTTAAAACATTCGGAGAAAAGAAGGTTGCATCAGCAGAGCGGGCTGTTCCAGGCACGTAAAGGATGAGCAGCACAAGTGTTCTTTTATACTAGAATTAAACAAAAATGAGCTTTGAGATAAAATCTGTACTGCTCAGAAATTGACTTTTTTCCTCCTTTCAGGGAAAACAAACGCCAGGAACGTGAGAGCAGAGTAGAAAGGGGAAGGAAGAGGGCGGAGGAGGTGGAAGATAACCTCCGACGGAGCCAGGCGGCTGCGGAGAAAACCGAGGGGCATCGCTCCGGGCCGGCCGCCGGGGAAGCGGCAAGTGCCGGGACATTTTGGAAACGGAGAACAAAGGGACGGCCCTCGGCCGCCAGGCACCGGGCAGGCGGAGGGGGCTCGGAGGGAGAGGGGACACACAGCCTTTCGCCTGCTTCCCACGCCCCGGATTGCTCGCCGGCAGCATGTCTTTCTCACTAAAACCCTTTCCTGCCAAGACACTCTCGGATGCTCTTCCTCATCCTTTAATGCCCGTCTATCTACCTCTCATTTGCTAGGAACAGCGTACTGTGTCCCTGAGAGGATTCCAGGCAAACCTGGAGCCCGTGAAACCCCCTGCGGCAAAAGAAGGCGAATTTCTTTCTCTTTTTATATACAGCGAAAAGAAATAGTTTTATTAAAGATGGTTCAGGAAAAGATTTGCAACATCGTTAACAGTTTGAAATTTCAGATTGTATTTCCAACACAAAGTAAAAGCTGACTTTAAGACAATTTTTAAAAAATGGTTTATGGAGAAATAGGCTTATCGTATGTTTTACCACATACAAGGGTAATCAAAATGTTTAGAGCAATAGTATATTATAATAAATAATACTAGTTTGGAACACATTTTAATAATTAGTTGAGGCACATTAACAGAGAGGATACCACTTCTCTCTCCTAGTTGCTGATTAGCGTGTCTGATCACCCTGTGTATATCATAACATGCACACTAGGTTTAAAAGATTAATTTAAAAATCGACAAAATCTTAGCCTTTCGGCCCATATAAATTATGGCATCTTTTGAATTTCCTTATTTATTGCTTCTGTCATAAACACCCGTTTAGTTTTGTAAATTAAAACCTAGCAGTGACCTTCGCTTGTCCATCAGGGAGTTTTTGGGCGTGAGGCAGTAGAAGGGTCTCGGGCTGGTCCAGGGCAGAGCGGGCACTCCCCGGCGGCTCTGTGCAGGTCCGTACACACCTCTGCAGGGGCAGCCTCTCCTCTGGCCGCAGGGCGAGCTGCCCAAGCCGTGCTGCCCAAAGCGCTGCCCCGAGCCGCCGAATCTGCGCCTCCGCGGAGCGCTCAGCCGGGCAGCGCCCGCCGGGGACACGAGATCTTCCCTTTTCCAGCCGGGGCCCCTTTTTCAGCCGGGCAGCGTGGACTCCTTGCACTGAAAACGAAACTGCGGCGGATACAACGCACAAAGCCAAGCTGAATCCCGAAGCTGCAGGAGCGGGGAGCGCGGTGGGGCACGCCCGCGACTCTGCGCCCCGCAACAGCTCGGAGAGCTTCTCCCTTCCTCGAAAAAGTAATTAAAAATTCTGCTGTAGTCAGGAACCCTCCACTCAATTCTCTCCGGGTCCCAGCGGACCAGGCAAGTTTGGCAGAAGCCGGGTGCTGCCACGGGTCTGTATTCCGGCTTTCTTGTATTTCCGATTGATTTTTTTTTTTCCCCCACTCGGCGTGTTTTGAAGTTTACGATACCAAATCAAAACTGACACATTCTGGCACTGGCTGTTGCTCAGAGAAAAAAAAATTTAAAAAAATCACAGAATACCCCACAAAGACTTAAGCATTAAAAAAAAAAAACAAAAAAAAACCCCAAAAAAAAAAAAAATTAAAAAAAAATTACAGAATACCCCACAAAGACTTAAGCATTAAAAAAAAAAATCATAACTTTTACCGTTCAACATATTTAAATTCGTTTATACTGGCCTAGAGGGAAGAACAGAAAATATAATTAATATTATTATTATTATTATTTTCAAAAAGAAGGAACTATAATTCAATTCAAGACTTGTCAACACTCCCTTACACTGAGAGAAAAACGCTGACTTTCACGGAAAACAATTCCCGAAATTTCGCCACCGCTGGAAGGACAAACAAAAAAAATTAAATATATTTTCAAGTCTTTTCGAAAGTCTTTAGCTGGTGGTAAATTGAATTTATATTTTCATCACTGTCCGCAATTAATGTATCAGGAGACGTTGTCTTTCAGTTTGGAGACTATTTTCTTATCCTTCACCCTCCTGTTCTGAAACCAAATGGTAACTTGTCTCTCAGACAGGTTTGTGGCTGCGGATATCCTTCGCCTCTTGTCCTTGTTAATGAACTTGTTAATGGCATATTCATTCTCGAGTTCTTTAAGCTGCAGTTTTGTGTACGGCACTCGCTTCTTCCTCCCGCGCCGGTAGACACACATATCGGGCTGGTTTAGTGCAACGTCCCCTATTGTAAAAGACATGATGTGAAAAATCAGAATTTTATTACAGGCTTTTAAAGCTTAACCGATACTTGTCGGGCACTGGCTTTCATGGGCAAATAAATAATGCCGGGTTGTTTACAGTTTATTATTATTTACACTGCCACATTATTTGCACTCTAGTAAAGCACCACCAAAACTTTGATGGACTGTCATCACTTTTGAGGCATGCATCGCTAACCGAGCACGCAGGGCGGTGGGGCATGGGCTGGGGGCTGAGAGCGGCTCGGGGCTGGCAGAGCGCACACAGAAATCGCTTTGGTGAGAGTTTCCCGGGTTTGTTTGCATGTGGTTTGTGCCTCTGTGCCCTCACTGCTCGCGGTCTCTTAAGTGCCCTGGGGCCGCCGGGTCAGTCGCCAGCCGGAGAGGCAGAGGAGAGCAAGCCTTCGAGCCACGGTCCTGAAAACTTCAAACGCGACTATAAACCCGGGCACCGAGGGAGGCAGCGGGAGAAGGAGCCCGCGGCCGGCCCGGCGCTCGCGGCCCGGGGCCGGGTGGCCTGGCGCTGGTGGGGAGGTTTTGGGTCAGTCCCGCGGGTGTGGAAAGCAGAGGGTGAGGATTTTCTCGGGGGTAGACGGCCGAGGGGAGAGTGAGAAAAAGAGAATATCCACCGCCCCCACCCTGCTCTCTGCGTGTCTGTGCAGCGTGTCCAGCTCGGCAGGCCGCCCCTGCAGCCCGGGGGCGGGGGAGGGGACGGGAAGGCGGAGGAGGCGCGGGGGTGTTCTGCTCAGACCATTTCTCCCCCTCTCGTACCTGGAAAGGACGATTTCCAGAAGTGTGAGCTCTGTGTCTGATCTTTGGCACAGTAAACCTGACTATTCCAGCCATTAGCCAGAGTCCAAGACTGATAGCCCTCCATTGATATGTATGTTTCGTGTCTCGGTTCCCCAGAGCCAAACGTTGAGACCATGTCTATGTACCCAGGAACGTGCTGGTAGGGGGTTGTATAGCCCTGGTAGAAGGACACTTCCTTCGCCCTGGAGGAGACTTCATTGGCGGGGACACTGGAGCTGGTCAAGCTGGAGACGTCCATGTACTTTTCCACGGGAAAGCCGCCAATGGAGGCGTGGGGGGGAGACTTCAGGGCGTTTTGCTGTATCCCAACCCCGTGGGACATCCTGCAGCTATAGTATCCATTGCCAAAGTGATACCCATAGCCCAGCGCGGGGGCGGCGGCCGGCGTGGTGGAGCCCGGGCAGTCCTTGGTGGGGGGCTCGGGCCTCGCCGCCGCCCCCGGGCGCTCCCCTCCGCCGGCGTAGGCAAAACCCGAGGCGGCGGCGGCGGCAGCGCGCCGCTGCTGTCGCCGCGCAGTCCGTCCATCTCCCAGCTCGCTGCTTTGCTCATGGCCTTGCACATCGCTGGCGGCGGCGGCGGCGGCTCGGTCCCCGGCCGGGCATGATGCGGATGGTTATTTGCCTCCAACAGGTTGGATCCTGGCGGTACGTTTATAAAAACGAAGTCCAGGTTGGGAGGGGGGACCGGGGCGGGGGCGGCCGGCCCCAGATTAGTTTGCCTCAGCCCGGGGGGCTGCTCATAGGCTGCCGTCGGAACATGTGACCCTCCCGCTGCCCGCACTGCCCCTTTCGCCTCGCAGCCCCCCGGTCGGCACCGACGGCGCCCCCACCCTCTACTCCCACCCCCGCCCCGCCGCCGCGCTCCCGCCCCGCCACGGCCCCGGCGCTGGAGCGGGGGGAGATGGGGCGGGCGAGCAGCGGTGGTGCCCCTCCGGACCAACCTAGGCCCCCGGTGCTTCATCTCCCCCTTCCTCCTGCTCGCGGCTTCAAAAAGGCCAGCCGAGTACCACTGGACATTTTGAGGCCGCCGGCAGGGGCCTTTTTTACAGCCACGGACAGGGGTCTCACCGGATCCACAGCGAGACCTTCTCCAGTTCATTGTTGCCTCTGCAAGAGGGGAAAAACCCCAACACAGTCTTTGCATTCCATCCTCCCCGCCTCCCTTCTTCCCGGCGATATATGGAGTAGATGGGCTTTGTTCTATGGGAAAAGGGGTCCCCCGGCTTCACTGAACTGTCGGTCCCTGGGAGAACCCTCCTTTTAACCACCCCCCCCTTGCCCACCCCACCCCCGATATTGCTGCCGGCTAGGAAAATGCACGGGGTCTGTGCGCAGCGCAAGACGGTAAACCTGGCGCTCATTAGATGTGGCTTTTCCCGTGCAGTGTCAGTCCATGTCGCGGTAAGGCAGCCTGGTCAGAGCGCAGAGTTTGCTTACGCTGACGGCTGTTCTCGTGGTGACTTCCCAAGACGGTGGCAAATCCTTCTGTCGTCTCCCTCGACTCTCACACGGAGTCGGGATGAAAATGCAGAAGCGCGAAGTACTGGAAATGGAGAAAGCTCCGAAGACGACTCCCAACTCCAGCTCCAGCCCCAACCACAACCTCAACCACAACTCCTATCCCTACCCCTCTGGACCGAGTCCAGCCGCTCCGCAGTTGTGCATTGCACACTTTGCTCTCTCTTGGGCGCGGAGGGCAACAAGTTGCTGGGGAAAGTGTCAGCTTCGCGGGGAAGGACAGGGAAACTCCGCGCCGCCGAAACCCATGTAGCTGGGGCTGTGTTTACTGTCCCTCCGGAGGCTCAGGAGCATGAGAGAGGAGAGGCAGGCGCCATGGAGGTGAAACTGTGCCCCGACACCACGGCGGGCTCTGGGGTGCCCTTGCTGAGCTCGGACAGGTGGTGGCGGGGCTCCCCGGTGGCTGGGCTGTCGCGGGATAGCTGCAGGTCCCGCGGCAGCCGCCCGTCACGCAGCCCTGCTTTGTAGCCGGTCTAATAATCGTCGGCGGTATCTGGAAGCGGGGTTTGGAATGACAAACGGGTGCCCACAATTACGGCAACAACCGAGTGTCGTAGACGAGTTCATGTTCATTAGCTCTGACCGCATAATTGCTATTAATCTTTCATAATCAGCTAAGGAGTGAGCCAGGCGTGATTACATGTTTCTCTCAGTTATAAGCCGAATCAGTATTTACTTTCAGGACATTAAACCCTCCGTAATTAGAAGGAAGTTTTGTCGAAGAACAATTTTCTCGCCCTTTTATGTCGCTGCAAGCATCTTTCTACCAAAAACGTTGCTATAAAAAGAAGTCCAGAGAAAGGAAGGACTTTATTTCTCCGGACGTCTTTCTATGTGTATTCCCACGTCCTGTTGTGTTTCCTCTTTCAATAAATGCAGTAAAAACTTCTCTCATGTCAGGACCTTTAAATAAGGCCGCGAAAGAAAGGAACACCTAAAGAGCAGGGTTTGGGAGCTTTTTGAGGTCGATGGCATCAAAGGAAACCACGGTGCAGCCGCAGCGACTCCCGTAGAGGTCTTCAGCCCTGCCGAGACCCCTGCTCCAGCGAGAGCCCCTCGGTGCACCAAAAAACCCTTTGGGCGGGTTCATGACCAACAGCCTCAATTCTGTAATGAGCTGCCTTGTGAAGGGTGTAGAAAACAGCATCGCCTTGCATGGCAGGATATTATACACAGGAATAAATGATCTCATGAGCAAAGGTCGGCTCTCGGAGCGCACCCACCCAGTTTACAAGTAGCAGGACGGGTCCCGCACCCCCGGTGCAGGGGCCCTGCGGAGGCCCGAGCAGCTCGGTGCTTCCTTTGCCCAGGGAGAGCATTCCCATCGGGGCTCAGCTCTGTGTCCGGCAGGGCAGGAGGACCTGCCGCGCTGGCCGGGTGTCTGTCCCTGCGAGGCCGTCCTTGTCCTCTCCGGGCAGCGCTTCCGCGGGTGGCCAGCGCCCGGAGGAGCCGCGTCGCATTTTCCATTGACACATCGCATGGGAATCTGCAGAATACATGAGCTAGAAAGCAACACTGCAGGCGTGCTTGTGCTTCCCCAGAAAAAAATGTTGTGGGCTTGTTTTTTTTTTGTTTTTTTTTTTTAATTTTTACAATCCTGAAATAATCTCATTTAGACAAGTGCATTTGCCGTGATTTAGTACAGCTAGGATTCCACTCAAACTTTCAGCAGAGGCTTTTAGTATCTGCCTACTATTCATGTCTTACAGGACCCCCCCCTCCCGCCCGTCTCCCGGCGATTTTTTATCTCCTCCCTCGCCAGAATTTGCCGATGGTAATTGTGTCGATAGGAAGTTTCTTCTTATGTTAGTGTTTGGTATAAGAAAAAATTTCTCCTCCAGGACAAACAGAGAACACAAACAAAACCACTAGATTTATATGTCTCCCAAACCTTATTCCGTTTCCACTGCATTCCGTTGTTACCTTTTAATTTGTATGAACTTTTCATAGCTAAACAGAACTTTCATTTTCCCCCATGCCTTTAAAAAAAGCCAGTTATGAAAACGAATAGATTGAACAGCAACACGTTGAGAATTGTTCTAAACTATTTTCCCCTCCAGATCTATGCCCACAGCTTCTCACTTCTTTAGTTACTTCAACCTTAAATAATCCCTTTCGAGACGCAGAAAGTTTTCTGGGGGCTCCCCGTGTGCTCTCGGTGCCGCGGCCACGGGCGGCTGAGCACTGCGGGCGTTGAACTTGAGCTCTGGGGTCACGGGCTGGTGCTGGCCGCTCTCTGCCCGCCCCCGCCGCTCGGGAGCAGCGCGGGGACCTGGGGACCCTGACCTTGGAGCGGCTCGGCAGCCTGCCCAACCCAAGCGGAGCCATCGGCCGAGTCCCTTTGCGAGCGGGCGTGGGCTGTGTCGTTCGAGTGAAGCCCGGTCTGTGAGCAAAGGCAGCCTCGGCAGCCGCCGTGCAGCTGTGAAACTCGCCTGGCGCCCGTGGATTTGTGCCTGGTGAAACTCGCCTGGCGCCCGTGGATTTGTGCCCGGGCAGCGCGGGCAGGGACGGTGCGCAGGGCCCGCGGGACTCGGGGACACGCTGTGCTCGCGTCCTTCACTCGCGAGTGACATTCCACAGACAGTACAGAGTGAACACCCCCCAGGACTGGCCCTATGGCCGTATGGCGGCCTGAGGCAGAGGGGACAGTCGGGGCTGAGCAGGAGCGCGCTGCGCCCTCAGACACGCAGGACAGCCGCTGCGCGGGCGCGGAGCTGCCCGGCCAGGCGGCCTCCGGCTGGTGCCAGGGGGCGACAGGGCAGGGCAGGGCTGGACGGAAGGGTGGCAGAGCCTGAGGGCAGGACGGGAGAACAGGGAGGGCAGGGCCGGCCGTCAGATCAGGTAGGGCGGGCGGGCAGGGCCGGCAGTACAGGAAGGCAGGGCGGCCTGGGCAGGGAGGCAGGGCTGGAAGGGCAGGGCAGGGCAGGGCAGGGCAGGGCAGGGCAGGAACGGCCCCGCCGGGAGCGGCTCCCACGACCACCGCACCCCCGGGCCGCCGCACCGCCGCCTTCTCCCACCCCACGGGCCGCGTCCCGGACGCCCTGCGCTGCCGCGGATGTCTCCTGCGCGCTGCCCTGCGGACTTGCTGGCAGCCTGCCCCGCTGCGGGATGGGAAGCAGATATTCCCGCTCGTCTTCCCAGGAATGCTGTGACTGGTGAAAAGTTGCCCGAGATGTTTGTCTCGTTTAATACGAACTTTGTTTCAATTAAACTACGTGACCCCTTTTCCCCTGGCAAGATTTAATAAATGAGTACTGAAATATTCTTTGATGCCTCCAGCAATAACTTTCAAGGTAAAAATCTGGCCAAAGGCCTAAGCAGCTATTTAAACTTACAAGAACAACTGAGTAAACAGAGTCCAACAAAAGCTCACATATTTCGGCAGTTTCTCGGCGGTCTCTGTAACTTCCTCCCTCTTTGCCCACTAATGTCGCTTCAATGTCCGTGGTTTTTCAGACTTAGATATTGATTTTGAACAACTGCAAACATTAGGAAATATTTTGTAGGCCCTGCTACTATTTTTGAAAGAAAAAATAAAAAAACGAACAAAAAACCTCAACGGTACACCACAAAAGAAAAGCAACAATCAAAGAAAAAAAAAAAAAAGCTAAACAAAACAAAAGTCCCAAAATATAAACTTCCCTGACGCACACAAACAGCAAGCAAAGAGATAAATATCAGTGCAGTAAGTACCTCTACTTTTCGGGGAATTTAAACAACAGACAACTAGTTTATTAGGGGATTGAGGATCTGGGGTGAATTCATTAACTGCATTGCAGGGAACAGTTTTGTAACCTCACCTTTACCTAGTGGAAGATTATTAACGTGTTGTATAACATTTTATAACCCTTGCATATGAATCTAGCTGTATTTTAAGATACTCTGTACATAACCTAAGGAATCAGTATTATTTAAAAGGTGCAAAATATAACCCTAGTAAAGATCATTCATAGCCGCACTTGAGTGTAACTTATTTTTCTCACATTGGGGCTTTTCACATAGTCTTTCTCATCCGCTCCAAATAACATAAAACCCGTTCTCCCCTTTTTAGTGGTGCAGTAACATTTTTTGAGTGTAAAGCTGCGCCGGTTCTGGTGGCGTGCACATACGCCTGCCTCCGAGACGTGCTATCTCGGCTGCGGTTTTCCCGAGAGCGGCGGGCAAGATGCTTGCCGCGTTACAGCATGTAAGAAAACAGACGAGGGCGCCAAACGACAGCAATAAACGCGGCCGCAGGTTTCCGCTCCGCCTCCGCCCCGCCGGGAGCCGCGGCCGCGGAGCCGGGCACGGCGGGCAGCGAGCGGCTCTCGGCCCGAGCGGCGTCTGCGGCCGCGGATCCTGCGCACCGCAGCGCCGGCCCGCTCCTCCGCCGCGCCCGCGGGCAAGGAAAAGTTGACATTTAGTCTTGTCTGGTTTGGGGGCTGTAAAACGCAGGACACCGCGCTGCTGTCTAAATTCACATTTCAAAGGGCTGGCATAAAAGTCTCATTAATAGAAGGCTGGATTTTGCAAACAACGCCTAGAATATTTCTTAAATATTTGGTGGAATGTTTAGGGGGACTTTAATAGGCTATTGAAAAAAAAAATCTGACAAGTATCCCATTTTCGAACTATGAATCATGCGCAGGAGCACAAGAACTTAGGAGATGAGTGTGACCAAGATTAGCAGGAAGAGCTCTCCTCATTAAAAAAAAAAAAAAAAGAAAAAAAAAGGAAAAAAAAAGAAAAAAAAAAATCAAACCCGCGTTTAATCACAGGAAACATTCGGGTGTTTCTCCCGGAGATGAAACTCGTATTCCCAGGGTCTAAACACTAGATGATGTAGGTGAAAAAAAATCACGGCGAGAAAAAAGGTTGGGCAGCTATCGAGGCGCACTCCAGAGATGCTAACGACAAAGGATTTATCTTCGTTTAAATGGTTGCCATCAGCGTCATTATTACTAGCAAAGTTACCACTGAAGGGAGACTTTCCGACTGTCACGTCTGCCGAGCGCGGCAGCCCGTGCCTCCAGCAGCGCGGCGACGCTTGGCCCCGCGGCAGCGGCAAAGAGCGGAGGGATGAGCTAACTGAGCCACAGGTAACTTTGGAGAGAGGGTGTTAAGGTGATGCTTCTGATAGGTCGGAGCCTGCAGGCAATAACCCCCCATCCATCATTTAATTCTATGATTATTTTTTAATTTTCAAATGCTTAGGTTTTATTGGTGGTGGGGAGGAAAGAAGCAAAGGGCTGGAGTGAGACCTGCCGGGAGAATGAAATGGATGCCCACGGAGTGTTTTAAATCACGAATGTATTTAATGTTCTCCAGTTATTTCCTTCCCCTATCATACTATAAAACAGTCAGTATTTTCCCAGAGGGAAGAAAAATCCCGGGCTAGCTTCGTCGATAAGCAGGATTATAGAAAGTAAAAATGAGATCATATTTAAGGACGCAAGGAAGACAAAGATAATAGAGTTGTAATATACTGCATTGTAACAAATATTTTAATCTTCGGGTAACTACTGTAGGTGCACTTGAATCTGGGCTGCAGACTTGTAAAGTCTGGGCATAAGGTTCGCGCGTGTGAGGGGTGCGTGGGGGTGTCAGTGTAAATTCCTAAATAAAAGTACTAAAGTGGTCTGGAAATGGGAGGGAAAAGTAAAGAGATATCAGCGGCAGGATGCTCTCGATCCACTGGTCCTCTTGAGCATTTCCTTGCGTTGTGATCTAAAATTCGCCTCAGAAATCATAATAAAAAAGAATTATCTAATATTTAGCATGTAGTTCTGTCCGAGGACAAATGAGAAAGAAGCTGCATCATTAGGACCTAAAAGGCAACAAAACAAAAATCAGAGCATAATGATGCACCTAAATGAAGGGGGAAATGTTGCACAGCTCATTTTATTAATCAGACTGTCAATTCCACCCCAGAGGCCAAACCCCAGAGCAATTCAAGCAGGATCTGATCAAGCTAAGGACAGGAGCTTTACTCCTCACTTCTTGTCTTTCTTTCTTTCCACCTGGATATATTTGTCTGCTCTGAAGCCGCCTTCATTATCCACTGACAGGAGCTTGTATTTATTTGCTTATAAACCTGTTACAATAAATGATTATTCGAACAGCGTCATTCGTACCTTAATGACGAGCACCACTTTTTGATGAATGACATTTCGGGCTAGAAAGGATGTATGGGTCATTTTGACCAGTCATTCCCTCGCTTTGGCATCCCACAATTTTTACACCTCCCTCAAAAACAGATAATAATATTTAGAGACACTTGCCGGGCTGAATGTGAATTAGCCCCTGCTGCAGCTCATCATTAGTACAGGACCAGCCCTGCAACTTTGACATTTTTTATAAAGCTGAGATGATGGAAAGAATAAGAAAAGAGATGATCCTGATGGAGAGAGGGCTGCACAGCCCTACAGCTGGCAAAAGGCTCTCGAATTTGTCAGACTCAGCTGGAAATGCGGTGTTGGAGGCCCTTGAAAATTCTCCGCACAGTGGTCGCCTCAGCCCGAGACTGACTGCCGCCTCCCTGCACAGCGCTATAGGGGACATCTCCGCCAAAGGCAAATTTGAAATAGACACTTTATTCAATCTCCAGCATCCGAGCAGTGAAAGCACTGTCTCCTCCGAAATCCCGCCGTCGGAAAGCAGGAAGAAAATCAGCCTTTATTCCGAAGTTGCTCAAGAGGCAGATATGAACAGTGATGTGGAGGTGGGCTGCTCCGCGCTCCGCTCCCCGGCCAGCCTGACTTCCTCCCAGCTGAAGGAAAACAGTAACAAAGGTAACTCTTCCTTTATCATCTTCATCTAAGCCCCGCACTTTGCCAACCGGCTTTAAAAACCAGAGGAAAGCCACTGCCACCGCCAAAGTTGCCGGCCTCTGCATCGGCGCTCTCTCTTCTGCGAAGACAGAGCTCCAGGCTGTAAAATATTATTACAATTACTGCGCTACCCCAACAGCCGAGATACACTGTCCGGGCAGCTCCCGTGCCGCTGCCTTCGTGTGTGTGTGTGTGAGTGTGTGTGCATGCCCAAATCCATTGATATGTAGATATATATCCAGAATATAGGTGGGCACAAATATCCACCCACCTATATTTAGGCAAAGCTTTCTCCCTGTATTTCCCCGAGCTCTTGGAGATCTCGGCGTCTCTTGAGCTGTATATGAGTGTATATACATAGATTAAATTAGAGAGGGAGAGAGAGGGGGGAATGCGAGGAAACTGCCCGCATTTGACTGTGTGTGTCCTTCTCTGTGTGTATGCAACGTGCTGTCTGTGTCCACCTCGGGCTAATTTGGCATTGTTCACTTTTCCTCTGCTTGTAAGAGGCGTTTTGAACCAGCCTCGTCTCTTTCCCCGTTCTTAGCGGGGCACGGTGATGGACGGTGCTTGTTACTATTGCTGGAGGTGGAGGTTATTACTGGGGAGGTGTAGGGAGATGAACGGTGGATTTCCTAGGAGCCACAGTGCATGCCTTTTTCGTCAAATGTGCCAGAGAAAGGAAGGGATGCTCGACGTAACCCTAGAGAAAAAAAAAAAAAGAAAAAAAAAAGGGGGGGGTTTTATGGCTGCTTTTATTTTGTATGTCTCAAACGAAACTAAAGAACGGCAGTGGAAGGGGAACAGGCTAGCGCCGAGCCCGGGCCCCGAGCCGCGGCCCGCGCCCTCGCCCGCTCTCCCCTGAGCTCGGCTGCCCTGCAGTCTCCAAGCCCGCCCCATCTGAAAATAAAGCAGTTACGAAGGATTAAAAAACCCCAACCCAACCAACCAACCAAACGATAACCAACAAACAGCCTCCAAATCCAAATTTATCGATTCTGTTAGCAGCGGGGATTTGTAAGAATGACAGCTGGCCTTGAGCACGGGTGTAGCGGGCCCGCTCCGGCCTGGCCGGGAGCATCGGGGGGCCAGCCGAGTCTGCCGCTCTCACCGCCGTGCCCTCGCCCCGCAGGCTACGCGGAGAGCAGCCCGACGCCCAGCGCCGCCGCCGCCCCCGCCGCCCCCGCCGCGGGCATCGGCAGCCTGCACGGCGGCGGCGCGCTGGGCGGCTCGGCGGCGGGCGCCGACCAGGTGCGCCGCTACCGCACCGCCTTCACCCGCGAGCAGATCGCCCGCCTGGAGAAGGAGTTCTACCGCGAGAACTACGTGTCGCGGCCGCGGCGCTGCGAGCTGGCCGCCGCCCTCAACCTGCCCGAGACCACCATCAAGGTACGCCGCGCTCCGCGCCCCGGCGGGCCGCGGCCGCCCCGAGCGCCCCGGGCCGCGGCCGGCTGGGCTCTGCGGCTGAAGGACTCGCGGGGCCCGCAGCTATCAGCACCACGCGTGCTCCTTCGCTTTTCTGCATCCAACACTTTTCATTCGCTTCTTAAAAAGTTATTGGCATAATTGTTGTTTTTATTTTCCTCGTCAGTTTTTATCGCGTTAGCCTATTTGCTAAAGTGAAGAGGGGAGAGAATAAACGTAGGGGGAATGAATGAGCGTCAATACCGTGAAGACCGAGTCTTGAGTGGGGAGGACGGGACGATTCGAAGGGAAACATGTATTCGGGTCCAAGGGGTCCCTCTCGAGGGCCGTACCCACCGCTCCCCTCGGGCAAGGTCACGGGAGATTGCTCCGGGAGGGAGAGGGGTCGCCTAGAAGCTTTGGCAATGTGTTTTGGTGGGTGCCCGCCGGTGTCCGCGGGAGCGGGCGCGGCGGGGCGCGGAGCGGAGCGGAGCTGAGGCCGCGCTGTGCTTGTATCCCCGCAGGTGTGGTTCCAGAACCGGCGGATGAAGGACAAGCGGCAGCGCCTGGCCATGTCCTGGCCCCACCCGGCCGACCCCAGCTTCTACACCTACATGATGACCCACGCGGCGGCCACGGGCAGCCTGCCCTACCCTTTCCACTCCCACGTCCCGCTGCACTACTACCCGCACGTCGGGGTCACGGCCGCCGCCGCCGCCGCCGCCGCCTCGGGGGCCGCCGCCGCGCCCTTCGCCACCTCCATCCGCCCGCTGGACACTTTCCGCGCCCTGTCGCACCCCTACTCCCGCCCGGAGCTGCTCTGCAGTTTCCGACACCCCGGCCTCTACCAGACGCCGGCCGCCGCCGGCCTCAACAGCAGCGCGGCCGCCTCGGCAGCGGCGGCGGCGGCGGCGGCGGCGGCAGCGGCGGCTGCTCGGGGCCGTGAGGCAGACCCGGGGAGGGCGGCGCGGCCGCCGACTTCCCGTGCACGGCGGCGGGGCAGCGCTCCGAGAGCGGCTTCCTGCCCTACTCGGCCGCCGTGCTCAGCAAGGCCGCCGTGGCCTCGCCGGACCAGCGGGAGGAGGCGCCGCTCACCAGATAACTACCCCGGCCCAGCCCGGCCTGTTTTGTAGAGGGAGCCGCGGGAGGACGGGGGGGTCGGGGCGGGGGGCGCCCCCGCGTTCGGCCAAAAAGTTCTGTCTATTTTTTTATTGCTGACCGCCCCGCCGCTGTGGGGCGCGGGACGGGCGGGGAGGGCGCTGCGCGGCTCTGCGCCCCCGCGGAGGCGGCCCCGCGGTGCTCGCTGCCGGGCTCCGCGGGGTGCAGGCAAGCGGGCCCGCGGGGGCAGGGAGGGGCAGCCGGCGGAAGGGAATGTGTTTCTGGCCTTATTTTATTTTTTTTAATTGTTGTTATTATTATTATTTCGGTTTGAGTTGGAGTGAATGGGAAATGTATCGAGTATTTCCGCACGACAAGCGGCAGCTAATGAGGCAGCCGCGTCCGGGCCAGTAACGGGAAGGGAAGTGTGACACTGTCGGGATGGGGAGAGGCATTTTTTTAAGATCACGCTTTCTAACTACCATAATCCACGCTATCTGGGAAATACTTGAATCTCTCTAGGTGTAGGCTGCTGTCCTGAAGCATTTACCTTCCAGACACTTTTCTAAATTTAATTCTTTTTCTCGACGTC